AGAGAGAGAGAGAGAGAGAGAGAGAGAGAGAGAGAGAGAGAGAGAGAGAGAAAGAAATAGGAGAAACAAGGGAGAAAGAGAGGGATCTCTAGAAATACCTGGCTCTAGAAAAAGGAAAACCATGTAACAGACAAATTATATCATGGGTCTTCCAGGTGGCCAAATTGTTAGTCTTCTGTAGTATAGAGGGTTACAATATGACAGACAATATTTATACCTTGATTTCAAAAATGGATTAATAATTGCCATGATAAAGTAGACTTTGTTTTACTTCCTCAAAAATAGCACCAATGATCCCACCTCTTTTAGGGGAGTAGGAAGGGTGATGAAAAAAAAGAGAGTGGTTCTTGGAATATTTCTTTTTTTCTTTTTTTTTTTTTAGGCAATTGGGGTTAAGTGACTTGCCCAAGGTCACACAGCTAGTAAGTGTCAAGTGTTTGGTCAAATGCCACATTTGAACTCAGGTCTTCCTGACTTCAGGGCCGGTGCTCTATCCGCTGTGCCACCTCGCTGCCCCCTGGAGTATTTCTTGTTAAAGGAACCAACTACTAAATCAAGAGCCAGGGAAGAGCCAGTGAGTTAGGGCAAGATCAACAAGCAAGGAAAGGGAGTGGCTACTGAATAGAGGGGCCCAAGGACAAGAGCAGAAGGGGGGTGGAAGAGGTGGGGGTAAGTTGGGTGCTGGCCTAGCCAGAGGAGGAGGGAAAGGTAAATATATTGTATAGAGCACTAGATGTTGATGTAGCGTATACAGTGCTAAATGTATATAGAAGTAGCCTACAGAGTACTAAAAATGGCCCCAGGAAGACCCCGTTTCTCTGGTTTCAGACATTTACTTAAAGCTGTGTGACCTAGGCAAGCCAATTAAAGTCTTCAGGTTTAGGTTTCACCTCTGTAAAATGAAGAGATTGGAATTGATGACCTATCTAATGTGGTGATTTTTAATCTTTTTTTGTGTCATAGACACCCCCTAAATGCAAAAAAAAAAAAAAATGCACAAGATTATAACGGAAACCAAAGGTTGGTGAAAACAGATAGCACTTTTTTCCCATCCAAGTTCACAGATCCCTATTACACTGAGGGCATATCTTTTGCCTTTCTTGGTATCCATCCCCAATTCTTAGCACAGTGCCTGGCATATCATAGGTGCTTAATCAATGCTCGTTGGCTGAATGAAATTTATTCATTGGACTCCAAGTTAAGAAACCCCTTGATCTAAGGTCCCTTCCAGTTCCAAAATTATGATCCTATGAGAGAGCTGAGTCAATGACAGATAAAGGCAAAAGGCTTGGGTACTGAGGGAGGGTGGTGAGAGGGATGGCGACAGATACTAGGGGTCAGGGGCTGAGAAGGAGTCGCAGGCTGAGAGGAGGGCAGAACTTGGGACTGAAAAGAGAGTGAGGCAAGGACGGCGATTAGGGGCAATCAGCCTGACTTCCCTCATTTGGGCTGAGGCTCGACAGGACAGCTGAACCATGAACATCCCGAAACAGGAATAAGAAAGTTCAGCCAAGAGCAGCAACCTCCGGGTACCAAGGGGGCTGGGGGCGGGGGAGCGCTTTGGGGAGAGAAGGGTGCGTCTATCCTGAAGAGGTGGGGCTGGGCGAGGTCAGTGTCTACCATGTCCATCTCTGGAGAAGGATGGAGGAAGGTCGCCCCTCCTGGGTGGAAGGTAGAAGCATACAATCTGTCACACCGATGGCTGCAAGCATGGGTTAGACAATAAACATTTATTAAGATCCTACTATGTGCCTGGTAGAGCTTGGAAATACAAAGTGCTCAGAGCTGGAGTTACAAAGAAAGATTAAAAGACAGTGAGGGGAAGCCACGTAAGGGAGGGGGCAGCGCTGGGAGGACCTCTTCATCTCTCAATTTAAGGGGGTTCTCAGCTTTCTGGGGTACATACCTGCGACGGGGGCCGGACAGCCCCCAGCTCCGGCTCCAGCCTCTACGCCGTCACCGGCGGGGTTCAAGAACCCAGAACCCGAGGTGAGCAGAGAGTCCGACATCTGCAGCCCAGCCCAGCCCAGCCTAACCCAGCTACTCCGCAGCTCAGCGGCGGCAGCTGCGAGCTAGCGAGCCAGGAGAGAACGAACTTACTCCGGAAACAGCCGAAGCCCGAAGACCGCGACGAGGCGGAAAGAGCCGAAAGCCTAGTGCGCTGGGCCGGAAGGAGCCTCCACAGGAGCTGCCCTCCCCAAAAAGGTTCCGCTTCATTCAGGGCCCGTCCGCCCCGATTCTGGCTTGTAGGAGGCGTGGGGGAAAGGCCGGTAAAGGAGGAGACTGAACCGGGACATTAACCAGTGCCCCCTTTGGAGACACAAGTTGTAGGCCATGGCCAGAAAGAGCGAAGGGGGTGTGGGGGAAGGTTGGGACGGGGCACTTCCGGAAGTCATGGTCTCCATAGAGACGCTCCCGGAAGTGCAGGTTGCCCGGGAAGCCGGGAGCGTCATCCTCCCGGCGCGACAATGGAGGGTTTGCCTGGGGATGATGCGTCCAAGCCTGGGAGTGATGGCAACCCGGAGACCTCCGGCTTTGAGGAAAAAGCAGGCCCGGAGCCGCCTCAGGAGGGGCCTAGGTCTGAGGCAGAGACTTCTCAGGACACTGAAGTTGAGCTTCAGAAGAAATTCGAGCCAGAGATCCCTCGGGAAGCTCAGCCTGGGGAAGGCAGACCAGAGTCGAGCAGACACGACGGTCCCATTGAAAGCGCTGAGGCTGAGATAGAAGCCAGGGTTTTGGATACAGCCACAGATGAGGAACCACAGACGTCCTCCTCAGAAAGTACGATAGACTCCCCTAAAGAACTCATCAGATTTCCAAAGGCTCCTGGGATCGCCAGAACCAAGTCCTTAAAAGGTCAGATGTCCTTGACTGAGTTTAAAAAAGAAGCTTCTGATGGAACGAAATCTAAAAAAGCCACAGAGGAAGTCAAGCGAGAAGTAGTTGTGCCTGAAACCAGTCCAGGACCTGAGATCCAAGAGCCAAAAAAACCTGAAAATATTGAGACACAACCTTTTTATCTCACATGGAGCCCAGAAGATGTGGCAGAGTGGATTAGCCAACTGGGGTTTCCTCAATATAAGGTAATAATAGCTCAAATTTATATGTAGTTTTATGGTTTACAAAACGCTTTTCTTCTCCCAACCCTATTAATCTCCATTTTATAAAGGAAAGAGTGCTGAAGTTAAGTGATTTATTTACTGGCAATCTAGTGACTAGGAGGTGAAGCCAGGACTCAACTCAGGTCTTCTGACTGGAAGTCATATACTCTCTTCCATAGCATTTCTTTTTATCTCACTCATCCCCCTGCATTTGACTCACTTCTTCAGTAGAAATGAATAAAGATTTCTTGAATTGAATAGAAAGAGCACGAATCTGTGATTAAAGAAATTTGGTTTCTAGTTCTGGTCCTGTCGCTGACTGGATGTGTGTGACATTGTAAAAATCATTTAAACATTTCTTAACTTGGGAGTAAATTGAGAATAAATACTACTTGTACACCTCATTAGGGATGTAACAGTATCTAAGAAATACATGTATGAAGAACTTTCAACTCTATAAATGCAAAGCATATTTTAGTTCTTTAAGAACTAAATGCATCATTTAACAAAGTTATCCTCCAATGCCTCATCATTGTAGTATGGAAGTGACACCCTAGATTTTTGAAGGCTTTGCCAGGAGGGCAGCTTGGTGTAGTAGACAGAAGGGCTGGCCTTAGCTAGCTATATGCCCTGAGGCAAATCACTTAATTTTTTTTTCCAGGTTCCAGGCAACTCTCTAAGACTCTTAAATTGAATGAAGATTAAGTCCTCTCTATGTTGGAAGTTCACTGCAGTGATAAAATCACTGGTAGAAACAAAAACAATCAGCAGTCACAAATTTTGGCATATCCTACTAAGTTAGAAGGGCCAGAGGAACTGGCCTAAGAATACACTGTGTCTGCTGTCCTAATCTAGCTAAATATGGAAGTTTATCACTAGGTGAGGAATTTTCTGGGCCACTGCAACACAAACACCATCTACTAAATTGTAAAGGGGCTACTAAACCTTAAATATTTTGAAGTATTTATTATGCACCCCAATTATAGTCCTTTTCTCCTTCATTCAGCAAGCATTCATTAAGCACCTACTATATACTACATGCTGTGGATATACATCAAAAAATGAAACAGCTTCTCCTTTCAAGGACCTTATATACTATTGGGGGAAACAGCAGGTACTACACATAGAAGTTAATACAAGACATGAATGCAAAGTATATAGAAGGTAATTAGAGTTTGGGGATGAAGCTAGCTAGCAAGTGTGGAGATCAAAATAGGCCTCATAAAGGTTAGCCAGTTTGGTCAGAACTTGGGCTATGCCTGCCATTCCTGCCAGATTGGCCTATTTGCTGCCCTCTGTATATAACATCCCATCTTCCCACTCGATGTCTTTGCACAAGTTTGGAATTCACTCCCTTCTCAGGGAAGTTCAAATTCCAAGGTTCAGCTCAGGTTTCTGGAATAAGAAGTTGAACAGGGACAGCTAGGTGGTGCCGTGGATAGAGTACTGGCCCTGGAGTCAGGAGTTCCTGAATTCCAATGTGACTTCAGACACTTGATACTTACTAGTTGTGTGACCCTGGGCAAGTCACTTAACCCCATTGCCTAACCCCCCCCCCCAAAAATATAAGAAGCTGAACAATTTACATAGACATCCCAGTTCTTGGAAACTCTTCCCTCCCTTACAATTTATAGTGAACCCAATTTAAGGATTCCGTCTCTAGTTCTACAGTAGTAATGTTTTTGACATGTGGTCTTCAAGATAGGTTCTTCAATGCTTTTTCATGTTATAATGGCAGCTCTATGACCAAAGACTGAGATTACTCTGATTACATTTCCCTTAATATATGTCAGCAACTAAATATGTCATCATGTCATTCTAATTTAAGGAATCAGTAATTTAATTTAAGGAGTTAGAAAATCATTTTATTAGAAAAATGTCAGTCATGATTATGACTTATTTTAGTGAAATGTTAATTCTGACAAATTATAAAGTGTGAAAGGGTGATGGAAAGAATCCTCTTATAAGAAAGGTTTTTTTTCCCATAATAAGGCACCACCAGGCCAAATTACTCTATTTCCTTCCTAGTTCCCAATAACTGTAACACCTTGTACCATCAACCTGTAGTTCCAGACACTGTCACAATTTGTAATTCATATTTTGGGCCCATTATAACTATAGTTAAATTTCTAAAAGTTTTTAAATGCTAGTGACCTTACAGTCAGTTGTCACTGAAACATGAATCATTTTTGTTTATTCTTTCCATAGAGATACTAATTTAAGATTTTAAAAAAGTTCAATGAACATTCTAATATTTGACACAAAATTCTTAAGTTTATGTGTGAAAAACAGTTTTCTTGACTCATGCCTTGCCATACATGTATGACACGTGTACATGTCATATATGCCACATGACAACATATAATAGATTAAATAGGGCTTGACTTTGATTTTATGGCAATTGGAAATTAACAAATAAACAATGTCTCAGGGCTCAGAATGCTCTTTAAATTAAAATAAAAACAGTGATTTTGCCAAACATATTAGATTTCCTTATGGGCAGCACTTATCCTTAGGGCAATTCTTATTTTGCTATACAAAGTAACATAAATTCTTTTTTAGAAAAATGAGAGATCAGTAAAAATTATGACAATGAAAAGAAGTAAACATCAAACCAAATTATGACAACAGAAAGAAGTAAACATAAAACCAAACTCTAAGGTTAAAAGAGAGATAGAAATGGGTACTGACCAAATTAGCTCTGTGGTAATACCAAGGAAATGGGCCTCAGTGGGGTTGCTACAAGTTCTTCTCCATAAAAGGGGGTGGGGAGGCCAGGAAAAAGTTTTAAGTTTCTAAGATAGTGAATGAATGAATTGAAGCAATTATTAAGTTCTTAACTATGTATGAAGGGAGGTACAAAGGGCAGCTAGATGGTACAGTGTATAGAGCACTAGGCTTGCAACCAGAAAGACTCAGCTTCATGAGTTCAAATCTGGCCTCAGACACTTACTAGCTGAATGACCCCTGGGCAAGTCACTCAATTCATCTGCAAAATGAAATGGAGAAGGAAATGGCAAACCACCCCAGTATTTCTGCCAAGAAAACCCTAAATGGGGTCATAGAGAGTCGAACACAGCTGAAAAACGGTGTAACAACAAATGTACAAAGCACTGTGCTAAGCACTGGGGACACAAATAGAAAAGTGAACCCAGTAGAGTAGTATTTTCCATTGTACAGTTCTTAGCACAATAATTGCACCAGATTGTTTGGAGAAATCAGACTCAAATAAGAGTCTACCACAGTGTGGGGAGAATATCAGAATTAGGGCCTGGGGTATTTGGAAGGCAGGCAGGGAGCTATAAAGTGGATCAGATTATTCAAGGGAGAAGGAAGTAATAATTATATTGGGAAGGATGAAGAAAAAGAGGTCTCAAGAGATATAGACATATTATTTTGATATATACATTGTTTATAGGAAGTCATATATACCTTGGAACAGCTGTTGACTATAAGTCTTAAGGTTAAAAAATAATCCTCAATTCCTTTTTCTCATTGTTACTCAAACTAAGAGTTTATTTCCTTCTCCTTCGTTTTATCAAAATTAATGTTAATTTGAGATCGTATATTTCTCCTTCAGTTTAAACACTAATTGTGGAATAACAATGTACTGGTTGTAGCATGAGAGGAGAATGAACCTGTATTTTTTTAAAGGGAAATTTGACCTTTCATCAGGTGGCTAATTAAGGTGGGGAGCCTGGATTGAAAAAAAAAAGTAAACAGTTATAAGTAAAAAATAAAGCTTGCTTTTCTAAGCATAGGACTAGAAACAATCATGATTTCTATTTTTTTCTTTTGCTGCCTGCAGTACCTCTTTCAAGTGACATTCTTGTTGTACTAACAGGAATGTTTTACAACAAATTTCATCAGTGGCCGGAAACTCATCCATGTTAACTGTTCAAACCTTCCTCAGATGGGCATAACAGATTTTGAGGACATGAAGGTGAGCAACGTTTATAAAGAATTCCTTTAGAGCAGTGTAACTTAACCTCAGTATGTCTGAAACTAGTTGACTATCATCTTTCCTCCAAAACTGGCTCCTTCTTCCTGACATTTCCTTCTTTATCCTAATCGGATATACATCTTCCAAACTAAAAACCTCTATCATCTTTGAATCTTTCATCTACTCAGCTTCCCATATGTTATACCCTCTGTCCTTTTCCATTTTAAACTCTTATCATCCTAATTCAGACCCTTATCACCTTATGCCAGGATCATTTAATAGCTTCCCAAGTGGCTTTCCTATTTCCACTCATTTCCCTCTTTCAATCCATCCTAAAAACTACTGCCATATTAATTATCCTAAAGCACTCTTTGCTCCTCTCCTTCCTTACTGCTTTCTATGACTCCCTATTGCCTACTACATAATGAAGTGTCACTTTGTAGGCTCTCCACAAGCTGGCCCCAACCTGCTTTTCTTAAGTAATCATAGAATTACAGAGTTGGAAGAAACTTCAGAGGTCATCTCGTTAACCATTTAGCCTAAGCAAAAATTCTATCTATAACAATCCAGAAGAGCTCTACATGCAGGCTGTGCTTTAGCTATATTAATCTCTCTCAAACACACCTTTTATATTCTTGCTCTGCTTTTGTTTATACAATCTTCACCTATACCAACCTCTCTACTCCTTTCCACATTGTCTGAATTCTCTCCATCCAAACTCAAGTCCCATCCACTTCCTTTTTTTTTTTAATTTTGAAGGCAATGGGGTTAAGTGACTTGCCCAGGGTCACATAGCTGACTAGTAAGTGTCTGAGGCCAAATTTGAACTCAGGTTCTCCTGACTTCAGGGCCAGTGCTCTACCCACTTCGCCACCTACCTGCCCTCTCCCCCCCCATCCACTTCCATTGAAGCCTTTTTTAACAACCCAAGCTCATATACTCTTCTTCTTTGAACACATATATTACTACATAGTATTCTTATTTGGCGCTTATGCTGTCTTGTGCTGGTAGATATCACTTATGTATATTTATTTGTCTTCTCTCCCCAACTAGATTATAAGCAACCTGAAAAGACAGGGTCTGTGTTTTAAACTTCTTTGTAGCCTTCTCAGCACCTTGTCAGTATTCTGTTTATAATGTACTTAACAAATATTTTTTAATTGTTTTGAGGAAGAAGATCAGAAGTCAGCTACGTATTTCATTAACTTTGTTCCAACAAAATCAGAAGTCAGCTACTTATTTCATTAACTTTATTCCAGGCAGGGCCAAATAATGTTTGTAGGAGCAACAGATAGACCTAGAATGTAAACAAAGAGAGTGGAAGAAGAGCAGAGGAAAAAGGGAGGGGGAGAGAACTAGAAAAGAGGTATATATGGTAGGGAGTAAGTTAGGTGGTTCTGTGCATAGTGCTGATCATGGAGTCTGGAAGGACCTGGGTTCAAATCCAGTCTCACTAGCTGTGTGACCCTAGGCAAGTCACTCAACCTCACTCAGCCGTCGTCTGCCAACATGTAAAATGAGGATAATAATAGCATCTACTTCACAGGATTGTTGTACAGATAAAATGAAATAATACATGTAAAGCACCCTGTAAACCTTAAAAGGCTATATAGCAAGTGATAAGCACAATGCAGTGACTTGTCAATAGCTTACTTCAGGTGACACTTGGATCTGCTCTGGCTAAGACTGGTCCAAATGATATTGCTGAGATGGTAAGGGAATGGCAACTAGTAATATCCCAGCTCTGTTATTGACATCTGGATCTAGAAAACTACTTTTAAGCCTATACAAACACCTACTCCTGTTAGAAATGGAACTGCTGAACAAATGTCATCCGGTCACAAAACAAAGTATATTTTTCACATGTACATCCTGACTTTGGGGCTAGCAGGGTGATCCTGAGAAAAAATACTTACTCTTTCTCAGCCTGAGGTTTTAATTTTTTTTAATCTCTAAAATGAGGGGGGTTAGATGGACTAAGATCCCTTCCAAAAGAATTCTGGTTGTTTTTGTCCATGGCTACAAGATGTATTGGTAAGTAGCACTGTCTTCAAATGCAAAAGAAAAAACCTAAAGACATTGCTTTTTGTGTGTATAAACAATACTGTGATCATCATCTATTTTTTCTAATTAAGCATGTATATGAACTTATAAATAAGGAGCCAGTTTAGATAAGTGGTTCTGATTCTTCCCCCAAAATAGAAACAAAATTCTTAACCAATTAAATTCGAGGAAGTTCAGTGCTGATTATCAGAAAGTATTACACACATGTTCATTTTGTAAACCAGGTTAGTATACTCTGCATTTTGACTTCCAAAGTAGAAACTCATTTGTTTTTACATCACTTTTATTTCCATATCCCTCTGCCCCCTACTCAGGGGGTTATCCCTTGTAATGGAGAATCAAAAAGAGAAGAAAAAAAGTTCAGAAAAATTAACCAACACAATAACCAAATCTGACAGTATATGCACTGTTTGGAAAGGTACATCTATCTTCTAATCTCTTCTTCAGTGACATATGGTCAATATAATTTACCTTATTGTAGGTAATAGTATGTATATTGTAAATAATATTGTGTAAATAATTTTCCTGATTCTGCTTACTTCACTTGATATCCTTTTTTTTGATAATTATTTATTTTTAGTTTTCAACATTCACTTCCATAAGATTTTGAGTTTTAAATTTTCTCCTCCTCCCATTCCTTTCCCCCCTCCCCAAAAACAGCATGCAATCTGATATAGGCTCTACTTATACATTCATATTAAGCATATTTTCCTAG